TTATTAATGAGTTAAATATACTTACAAGAACAAACTCAATGTCATGTATAATCAACTGATTAGCTATAGGGCATATATACCAAAAATAACATCCTAACAATAAGATCCATTGAAGGATCATACCACCCCTAGGTTAATTCCTTGATAAAGAAATGTGAAAGCATATATATATAAACAAGTTTTAACATCCTTAAGACATGACCCTTTTAAGAACCATATCACCTTGAATTAATTCTTTAATAAAGAAAAAAATCAACATATAACCACACAAGAAAAAGGAAGAACACATATAATCATATCATTAACTTTATAAGACAAAATCATACATTTTATAATAAGAAAACCTATGCATCCACGCATGACATTCCACACCTAGGTCAAACAATTACACATAGGTTAATCTTATTACAACATATCCTTATAATCCCTTAAGGAGTATTGATTCCAACCTTATTACATCCATTACAAGATTTCATAGTTTTACAGACGAAAATATTTTGTCGGTGTGTGATTACCAGTTTGTCGGTGATTTATTTACCGACATCTTCACCAAAGGATTACGTCTATCGGTTTTCCTCTCGTTGGTAATTCCATATTCCATCGCTATATCTGTCAAAAACACAAAAAAAACCATTTGCCGATGGTTTTATAGACGGAAATTTATACACCAAAAAAAAAGTTTCCCGCTTGAAATATACCGACGAATTTTAATCCGTTGGTGATATCGTGATTTACCGACGGCTACAACCTGTTGGTAAATTTATCAGTGAGTGTTTGAAATACCGACTGAATATATCCGTCTGTAAATTCATCAGTAATTATGGCAGCTACTATCAAATGCCGACGGATTCATTCCGTCGGTAAACCCTTTGTAATAGTTTTTTCTAAATTTGTTTTTTAAAAATTATTTAGAATACATAATATAAAATTATATAAATTAATGGTAATAAAAACCAATTATGCAAATAAAATTTATATTAAACATTGAAAACAAAAAATCAAAGTTAAATAATATTCATTACAAACTGAATGTGTTTCAAAAAAAATATTAAATGAAATTTTAAAGGTAAATAATGTTTATTACAAATTAATATAAAGGTGGTGTTGGAGGAGGAGGAGGAGGAGGTTGGTGGTTATACAGCCAAAAAGGATTAGGCGCACATGTTCCACTCTATGTTGCCATGTCCATGACCATTTCATGAAGCTGTTCATAAGCCGCGTTTTGTTGTGCAGACTTCGCTCTTTATTGTGCATGAGACGCTTTGAGTTCTACGTACTCCACTGATAGCTAGTTGTATTTTTTGGTGAGCTGAGTCGTGTGTTGCTGCAAGGCCACAAACTCCTTAGATTGGGAGCTCCTAACGGTTAAAACACTACGGGCCGACTACAAGTTGTCGGCCGTAGTGTTGGAGAGCTCGTAAACTCGATTTTTATCGGGTCCACCTGACGATCCAACTTCCATCCATAAATCCAGATCGAATTTCGGATGGGTCAAAATATTATCCCCGTATCTCTCCCAAAACCGATTATTATAGGTTTCCTGAAAATAAAAAAAAGTAATCATCATATTCAATTTAATAAACATAAAAACTTACAAAATAAAATGGTTGAACAAACATACCATGAAATGTTGAGTACGATTATCAATGAACTGTTGTACCCCCTTTTAGCGATCTTGACTCCGCACGTGCATCTCTATAAACAGCTCCATCAAGCTCGGCTCACATCTAAGAGATGTAGCCTATAATGAAAAAAGATTTATTAACAATAGCTTAATTTAATGATATATTTTATTTAAATTAATCTTACCATCTGTTTCACATGTGCAGCAAATGGAATGAAGCCGCCAGTGTGCATTGTCACCAAGCCATGAATTGGCCAATTCTGGTTGCCAGCACAGGACTGTGAGTGTCATGTGAACCGCTTAGACGTCTCGTGCTCAAGATATTGTGGCCATATATCTTCCAGGAAGTATATCGGTTTGAAATCCCTCCAAACCGCAACATCGTTCTAGCCTTAAAAACCCCTATCTCTCACGGGTTTTTTTACTCTTTTTTATGCTTCATACCAAAAATCACGCAACCTACTTCACGCAACCAAAAATTACATTTCGAAACATAAATTTTTGTCTAAAAAAATCTTGTATTGTTTTCAATGTTACCTAGTTACCTAGTTGCCGCGTGATTTTCCCACACCCTCCTCACAATAGTGTTATGCTCACTATCCCAGCAAAATTTTTCCTATGTATAAATAATTAATTTTAAATAAAAATAATAATTTATATATAATTATATTAATAATTTATTAGAAATAAGATAAAAATTATAAATTAACACCAACCTCAAATCTGTCAAACCATGCATTGATTTGAGGCATCCATTTAGGATGCTTGGATATTTGACTCCATTGAAACAATGGAATCTCCATTGATGATTTAAATGCCGATGATATTACTCGAGAGGCCTCAATGTTTGTGAACCTGTAAATAAATAAAATAAATTCAATAGTGATTACTTCATAAATTATGTTGTAATTTTTTTAAAAAAAAAACTAAAACCTTAACAATCTTACATTGAAAGGTCATCTTTCCACTATGCCTCATATTTGCGAGTAAATTGATTCTGCTGCGAAGGCACGCCACCTCTACACTATGAACTAGCGCTGGAAAAGGCAACATCAATTGATGGCGCAGGTAGTGTATGTGCCTTTTCTTAAGAGGCACCTAAGGAAATATCATCCTCGCTACTAGACGTACTAGCTGCGACTATACGAAATCCACAAACTTGCATATATTAACAATAACCACAACTAATTTACCCAATCTATACTAATTATTCCAACATATTCAATTGCTAATCCTAAGGTAAATTCAACATTAAAAATTACAATTCAACAAATTATTCAATAATTAT